AGGTCACATGTTGCATGATTCTATTAATATGAAATACCTAAAAGAGGTAAACCAGTTAGGCAGAGAGCTTGGGTGTGAGGTATCCTTCATGAGTGCTAAAAAATATGCTGGAACAAGGACCTTCAAGATGGCTCAGCAGGTAAAGATGCTTGCCATCAAAGCTCATGCCCCGAGTTCAATCCCCAGGACCTCTTTGGTAGGAGAGAATTGATACATGTCTCTTCATTTCCAGAAGCCAGGCCAATTCAGAATCTTTGACCTTTGATTAAAAGGTCAATTTTCCCCAAATCTTTAAATCTTCTTTTCTTGTCCTTAGTTTTTCCCTAGATTAAACAAATTTTGTTTAGGGATTCTACCAAAAGCAGCACTGATGCGGATTGCACTGGAAGTGTCATTTCACAATCACTGGCTTGTTTTTTTGATTGTTGTTTTGTCTTTTTGAGACAGGGTCTCCCTGAAGCCCCAGATGGCCTGGAACTTGCTATGTAGACAAGACTGGCCTTGAACTCAAAAAGATCTGTCTGCCTCTGCCTCCGCCTCCCAGCATTGGGATTAAAGGCATGTGTGACCACGCCTGGCTGCTTCTTTTCCTCTAATTCACATGACTATCACACTTTTAAGTGATTATCACACTTGATAATGCACTTATGGACTGCATCACTTGAAGACTTCTTTTGTTTGTTCATTTGACCTCTCTTGGATATTCATAAAGCCATTTTTTTTGAGACAGGGTCTTACTATGTACCTCTGGCTAGACTAGAACTCATTATGTAGAGCAGACTGGCCTCGAACTCAAAGAAATCCACCTGCTTCTGTATCCTGAGTGCTGGGACTAAAGGTATGTGCCACCGCTTTAGCAAATTAACATTCTCTTATCAAACATTTTTTTTTCAAACTTAAAAGGGATTTGTGATTTCCTATATATATTTAGCTTGTAAATACAAGACTGTAAATGTATTGAGACAATTTCTGTTAAAATTTTCATTGTTTCACTTCAAGTACTGCACAAGTTAAAATCTGATAAAGGATTTACATTCAGTTATCTGAAACTCCCCATCTCAGACTTCTGTTTTAATGTGGCAGATAACTTCATCTCCATAGATACCACCAGCAGGAAAGTCTCTTCTTATGGCTTCTAGGACTTTCATTAATTAGTATACAGAGTTTTCATTTTCTATGTCACTGTCATTATCATTGCTATCTTCGTCACTTTCTAAGGGTGTGCCTGTGGCAGCTGAAGCACCTTTAGTTTCTCAGTCAAGAGGGAAAAAGCCAGTTCCACTGAAAGTGTCTTGTCTCTGGTAGAAGAGTACATAATGCTGCTTTGGACACAATTTGGTCTTCGGATGCAGTGGAGACACTACTGCCATCAAAATAGTACCATTTCCCATCATCTTTATTTTCTGCAAAGGCAGTATAATGTCCTCTTTCCATGCCTCCATAGTAGTTCAAAACAGCAATCAAATTATAGTGGCAATGGCCTGCATTGGATTACTTAGGAATTCTAACATATCCAAGTCATTGATAGGAAAATCAACTAAAGTATCTAACTTGTCTCTCATGTATCAACTATAAGAAAACCGCTTGAGATGTGCCACCAGTACTGGAGGCAGGGACCATAAATCTAATTTTTTGTGGCTTGCTGATGTTCTTTACAATTTGGACAATACCAGAGATCTTCAGCACCTAGTTTTTCTTTTGTGGTAAAAAGTTCAATGCAATCTTTTAACTTCACAAAGGGTTTTTTTGGAGGTTTATATTCCACACTTTCATGTTTTTCAGAATCTTCGGCAGCATTTTCATCAAAGTATCTCTTTTTTTCAAATCAGGATCCCAGTCCAGAGCAAAAAAGATCTTTCATCCAGCCTAAGCTGTCTATCATCAAATCTTATATGCCTGGTATCATCTTTGATGTAATTGATATCAGTATTGCCTAAGTTGTTCAACTGGAATGTAAACAATCGTTTTTTGTGTCCCATGAGTTGACCTTTGCAAGTTTCTTCAGTACACAATCCATTTTCAGAATCATTATCTCCTCCAACTGAATCTTCAGACCGACTATTTTCATTCTGAGGGAAGTTCTTGATCCCGGCTGGATTCATCATCTGGTTCATCTGTTTCCATTTCACTTGGTGAGCCTTCCTCATGTATGCCATTCGGGCCATTCCCATTAATATTTTGGTCCTTACAGCAATGTAGGGATCCTTCCGTTTCTTCAGTTTCAGTAAGTATCTTGACATACCGGCACATTCTCAAAAGTAGGAGATTATAGAGTTTATCTTCAGTATTGTTTCATGGAACAACCATAAAAAAGGCTGACCAAAAAGTGAAGAGCCAGTATGGTGGGTATAACTTGAATGCTTGAACTTTTCTCTTAGGCAAACAGGAATAACCACATGTTCTGTGTCTTCTGTCCTGTTGATATTAATTTCAAACACATAAATATCATCCCGCTCCATAATAGCACTAGATTTTCATCCATGGTAAATATTCTGTGAAATCTATGATTGTATATATCAGTAACTATCATCTTCTTTGCAGGCACCCCAACAGAGCAGACAATGCTGTAAAAAGATCTAGTTTATTCCCAATTTTGGGCACAATAACTTTGTACTGCATAGGTTTAGTAAGTGGATCCATCCTAACTAAATAAACTTCCAAGCTATGTTCTTTTTTCATGGGCAATGGAAGTGTCAAGTAACAAAAAGGGTCAAACGTTACTGAAATCTTAGCACACTCAGGACACACTAAAGTTGATTTGAAAAGGCCATGAAATATATCTACTATGACAGAATCATTTCTTTTTGAATGGTTTTCCCAGGCTTCTTCAGCAACTACTTTGTCTGGCCTTCCATCCGCATCTTTTAGTTCTATGTATGGTTTTTTCCTAATTCTATTCAAATCCTCATGAAGTACATCTAAGAGGAAAGCTAACAGTTCTTGACAGTCCTGCTGTTGACATCTAGAGAACTGAGGTGCAGAGCGTCTTTCTTGTGTCTTAAAGGCTCTTGGGGTGATATAGCTAAACTTTCCAGACCACATTTGTTTGATGAGTTCAGCATATGACTTAGCTATTTCACCTCTCATTCCTAAGGGATTGTCAAAATTTAGTTCTTCTTAGTAATTATCATTGAGGAAATACTCAGTAAGTGGAGGTGTGTTGCTCAAACACTGAATAGCTGAGTTCATGAAACACGTATTTCCCAAGTTACTTAAGCCACAGAGGCCTGGCTGTTCATTGTTTCTTCCAGGTTCTGAATAATCATAGTTCTTATAAGCAGTGTATGATGGGAGACAATAATTTGAGTTGTTCACATTTCTGTTGTTGATGTTGTTATAATTATTTGATAGAGATGAAGGAGAGATCTTTGGTAAAGTTGAAAAATTAGATGCACCTGGGGACTTAGGCATAGAAGGACCCCCTTGGCCACATTCCATCTTCATTTTTCTGTTCTATCACTAACACCTGTCCTTGGTATAAGCCAGCATCCTGAATGGTGCTGTCCAGTTTATTCAGTGGTTCAAATGTATTACTCATATACTTGTTCCACAACCTGGTCTCCTTTCCATCTGGAATATTGAAGATTTTTCTTATTTCCTTTTCAATCATATCTATTGTGTCAGCTTTGCTAAATCTCTGAATTACCACACTGTTCATGTTTCCATCCTCTCAGAGCGTCAATTCTATGAGACATACTTCTACTTTGCAGTGCTTTACAAACATACCCTGTTCCACCACCTTTCTTGCTATTGGCTCTTGACCTTCCATCAATGTGTACCAGCTGACAAGTTTACTCCAGCCTTCAGTTGGCAACAATATGTAATCTAATTAATCGATCAGATGCTCCTTAAGTGACTGGGCAACACCATCTTTGAGAAGTCCAGAGTTATCGATTGGTCCAGGATATACATTTTGATCTCCCATCTGGTATTTGTCTCAACTGTCAAAGCCAAAATATTTTTTCCACTGTTTGAACCACCAACTACCTACTAAATACCAAGTGTTCTTTTTGCGGAGTGAGGTTCTGAGCAGTGTCGTGATGTCAGAACGCTGGTGTCCATGTCCATGGCTCCATATTCTGCCATCTTCTTCCACTAGCAGAAAAGGAGGTGGCAGCGATGGCCCAAACATTATTTAAAAAAAAACAAAAACACATCAGGGCTGGGCGTAGTGCATCTCTGTGAGTTCAAGGCCAACCTAGTCTACATAGTGTGTTTCAGGCCAGCTGGACCTACAAGGTGACCCTGTCTCAAAAAGAACAAAAAGACCAAAATGACAAAAAAAAAAAAAACCCTCATCAGTCACATCAATAAAACCACGTAAGATACCACTCACCAAAGTCATTAGGATGGTGGTAAGGAAGGAAAGAAGAGAAGAAGGAGAGAAGGAGGGAGGGAGAGCCAGAGGGAGGGTGAAAAAGAGGGACAGAGAGAGAAAAAAAGAAAGATACTGACAAAGATGTGTAGAAATAAAGTGAAACCCATTGTGCACGGCTAGGGGCAATGTAAAATGGTCCCATCATGTGGAAAATGGTATGGCAATTTCTCCAAACTAAAGAGAATTAACCACATGATCCAGAACAAATGGAAGCAGACTTCAAGAACCAAGAGGCAAGCAGCACCAACTCATAGGCATATTAATCACAACATCCCAAAGATAGAAACAGCCCAACCATTCATGGGTGGATGGCTGGATAGATAAAATGTGTTCTATACATAAAATACAAATATTATTCTGTCTTAAAATGAACAAAACTTGAACACAAGCTACATGAATGAACTTTGAGCACATTATGCTATCTTAAATTAGCCAGTCACAAAAAGATAAATACTAAACTGGGCTTGCGATGCAAGCCTGTAACCCTAGCACTCAAGAGGCCTTAGTCAAGAGGATCTTGGATCAAAACCAGCTGGGGCTACAGGGGGACCCTAAAAAAAAAAAAAAAAAAAAAAAATAGAAAGAGAGAAAGAAAAAGATAAATAAATGTGATTCCACTTACATGCAGTAGTAGAGTTGTCAAAATCCTAAAGGCTGAAGTAGAACAGCGGTTGCCAGGGGTGATGGAGTGGGTTTAATGGGCTTCAGTCTGGAGAAAGGAAAGGATTCTGGTGAGGGATGATGATAATGGTTACACAATACTGAAAATGAGTTTAATATCAATGAACTTTCCTCTCAAAAATGATTAGGGCATGGTGGCGCACGCCTTTAATCCCAGCACTCGGGAAGCAGAGGCAGGTGGATCTCTGTGAGTTCAAGGCCAGCCTGATCTACATAGTGAGTTCCAGGACAGCTAGGGCTACAGGGAGACCCTGTCACAAAAAGACAAAAAAAAAAAAAAAATTAGGTCAGGGGGCTGTGGGTAAAGGTGCCTGCCACTAAGCAACAGAACCCACATGATGGAGGGAGAGAACCAAATCCCGAAAGGTGTCCTCTGACCTCTACAAGTACACTAAGGCACATACACACACCCACATATGCAAACTAAATAATAAATAAATAAATAAATTTTAAATTGTAATGGTTAGAATTGTGTATAATTAATATATGCTAATAAAAACATTAAAAATGGTTAGGAGAGCTGAGAGTATCGTTCAGTGGTACAGCACTTGCGTGGCATGCAGTGAGGCCTGGATTCTATCCAGCATTGAAGAAAAACCAATGAAATTGATAGATTTTCTGTTATGTATATTTTACCTCACTAGAAAAGCTCTTCCGAAAGAATCTCTTTTCAAGTTGAGGGTTATTGTGCGTGCCTTTAATCCCAGCACTTGGGAGGGAGAGGCCAATCTCTGTGAGATCTAGCCCAGCCTGGTCTATATAAGTGGGTTTCAGGCTAGCTGGGACTACAGGGAGAACCTGTCTCAAAAAACAGAACAAAACAAAAAAAGAATCGGTTTTTCTTTGGGTGGCAGTCAAAATGCAGGTGCCCTAGCCAGGCCTGGGGGTTGGTAGTACACACCTGTAATCCCAGCTACTCTGAAGGCTAAGCCAGGAGAATCACAGGTTCAAGCCTGCCTAGACTACAGAGGGGAGTTTAAGGACAGCCTAGGCAACTTAGACCTTAATTCACACCGAAGCATAAAAAGAATGTTGGGTATATGGCTCGGTGAGAGGGCATTTGCCTAGAATGCGCAGGTCCTAGGTTCAATTCTCATGACATACATACACACATACAAGCAGTTCCCAGGCTTTGTACCCAGATCCCTATTCTGCAGATCTGGGGTGAGGAACCTGAATGTTTAGGACCAGCTGGGTATGACTGATGTGGGGGCTCAAGTTTCACACTAAGGCCTTCCTGTTCCTTCATGTAGACCCCCATATAGCATTCTGAACCTAGTTATTAACAAATCTAGTATCAATGAAAACAATCTGGAGTATACCACTATACAAACTTTAAAATAATGTTTACTCAAGTGATCCAACTTTATGAACGCATCCAACAATACCTGAGCGAGGGAGGGACCACAGAAGCCAATTCACCAGTGCCTGTGTGCTCACTCATTGAAGCAAATCCCTTATAACCCAGGGCTTGGGGAACCATTTTTCTCCTCCCCACTTCCACACACTTCAACTATGACAACTATTAGAGTTTCTACTGTGGCCCCTTTCTGCCACTGAATAAGAGTCACAAGTTCAAAAGACAGTCCGTTTTGCTAGAGTCAGGATCCTTCTCTTGACTTGAAAGTGACAAAAGCCACGAGTCATAGAACAAGGCCATGCTTTCTGAAGGATTTGTAAGACATCTTTTGTACTGAGATAGCAAATCTGTCTGTAGTGACACTGGACCAATATAGGAATAGTCAAGGCCTCTGTAACCTAGCAGTCTTGCAAACAGAGGGCAGAGCTCAGCTGGAAAGCTTTCAGTGTGTGGATACCTGGACTATCAGTGTACAAATGGCCTTGCCAAGCCAGATCTCAAACCCATTTCCTTTCCTTTCTCCCATCCCTTCCCTTTATAGGTGGTCAGCCATCCTTTGCTCACTGCTCCTCACACACAATCTGATGTATCACTGCTGCTGTCTTTGCTCAGGCTGTTCATGCTATAGACTGCATTGCTCCAAATCCTTGCTGCTTTCTCCTGCCACCTCCTTCAGAAAGTCCTTCAGATTGCCTCCCTCCATTACCTGCATCACAATAACTTTTCTGTAACTTTTATCACTCTCTGCCTTGATTTCGCCTTATACCATTTACCATTTTCTAGGCTTCATGGTTTTACATCACTTAGAAATGTTTTGAGGTTGAAGACTGAGAATTATTGTATGATTAGTCTTGTATTCTATCTTTTTTGGCAGGCACCTCAAGGGTCCATGCAAACCTTTGCTAACCAAACTCCAAGGTCTCATAGCTAATAGATGTGGAGCCTCGTTCCAAAGCCCATGAACCTCACCATGCACTATCACTGGCTTATCACTAAGAATTCTTCAGTTAGCCTTGGAAGATGAAATCATCAAACCACAGCTGCAGAATTCTCATTCAGAAAAACAGAAAATTCATTGCCAAGAAACAAGTAAGAAAAGTACTTGTTTTTTTTTTTTTTATAATAAGTACTATTATTACTTTTATTTATTTTGAAATGGAGATGGCCTCATTTCTGCAGTTGATATTTAGAAGTTCATCTACTCAGTTACTCTTTGCTTGTCTGCCTGGAGCTGGTGTGGATGCAATCACTTTACATTCCACAAACCAGAAGTCTGAGAGATAGAAGCCAAGGAAAAATGCAAAGAAGCACAGTGTGTGGGGCAAGAGACATAAGCAAAGCTCAGCAAATGGCTAAACAGAGTATTTTGGAGACGGAGGTGATGGTCCTTGGAGCCATTCCTTCTGTCACAGTACAGATGGAACCTGCTGGTATGTAGAGAAGAGGGCGGGGAAAGTAAGAGCAAGAGGGAAAAAAGAAACTTGGAGCAGAGCAGGAAGAGGTGTTGTTCAGGGAACGGATGCTGGGGCCACAAAAGTCAATTATTGCTCATCTCATGGAGTGGGAGAAAAGAAAGGAGAATTCCTGGTTTTTAAAAATAAAGCCATTTTGTCCATGTCACCTTCCTCCTGGCCCAGACTACACAGAACTCTTCCTCTGGCCATATTATGATTACTTATACAGTGTGTTCATATTCTAGCAAGGGACTGGCAAACATTTTTTTTTTAGGTGGTCAGATTATTTTAGGCTTTTTTTCTTTTTTTCTTTTTTTTTTTTTTTTTTTGGTCTTTTTGAGACAAGATCTTCCTGCAGCTCCAGCTGTAGCCCAGGTGGCCTGCAACTCTATGTAGACCAGGCTGGCCTTGAACTCACAGAGATCCATCTGCCTCTGCCTCCTGAGTGCTGGTATTAAAGGCCTGCGTCACCTCCCCCGGTGATATTTTAGGCTTTTTGAGCTATAGAATTTCTACCAAAACTACTCAAATCTGCTGAGTTATGCACGATCATTGAAATGTAAATTTCACATAAATTTTTAAGTGTCACAAGATTATTCTTTTGGAACTCAAAAAACAAAGAATCAAGAAAACAAATTACCCAATGAAAAGATGGGCTGAAGCTCTAAACAGAGAGTTTGCAAAAGAAGAAATAGAGATGGCTAAGAAATACCTTTAAGAGTGTTCAACATCGTTAGTAATTAGGGAAATGAAAATTAAAATCACCTTAAGATTTCATCTTACCCCAGTCAGACTGACTAAGATCAAGAGAACAAATGCTGGCGAGGGTGTGGGGAAAGAGAAACGTTCATTCACTGCTGGCAGGGTTGCAAACTTGTACAACCCCTATGGAAAGCAGTGCGGAGAACGCTTAAAAAACTAAAAATGAACTTACCATATGACCCCGTTATACCACTCCCTGGCATACACCCAAAGGACTCATCCTATTGCAGAGACACTTGTACAACCATGTTTGTTGCTATTCTTTTCACAATAGTTAAGAGATGGAAGCAACCTAAATGCCCCTCAACTGACAAGTGGTTAACAAGAAAACAGTGCCAGATAGGAGAAACCTTCCTTTGAATTGTTGATCAGGGCAGTCCAAGAGACTCCTAAAATTATACAGGCTATTGCCACAGCCCTTGATTGCCTCCCAGAACTTGATGGTAAGACCCTATTATTGAAGACAGGGCATACTTTGGACACAGGATTTGGAGCAATAGAGCTGGACCTGGGAGCCACCTTCCCTGAAGGCCAGCTCTCATAGCTCTGGAGAGTACTACTGTTCTCATTTATTTCTCCATTGTTGTGACAAAATACTCTAACCAATACCAACTTGGGGAGGAAAGGGTTTATTTGGTAAAGTGTAGTTCTGTAAATATAACCAAATACACATACCTGAAGAGGCCATAGATCTTAGAGAAAGCTCAAGGCTCTCACATCCCTAGACAAATATAATTTCTAACTATCTGCAAGTATCCCTGTCACCACCCATCAAAACAGCTTCTTTTTCAACAGACAGAGATTATTACAGAGTTTCACAACTTGTCATACACAGAGATTGTCTGTGAATTGCCCAAGCCTAAGTGGCACATCTACGATGCAACCTAAGGCTCTACACCTAAGGCTCACAGAACATAGAACAAGAGAGGAAGAGAACACTAATACATCTCTCAATTCTCATCAATGAAGTTCCCTCATGCAACAGACGACCAGGAACACAAAGGGTCACAAATAGCCAAAACATAGAGAGTGAGTGTCTAGAGAGCGTGGGTCCTTGGACAGGACTCCTATATTAAAATCCAACCACCCATGGCTGAGGGTCCATTGAAGAAGGGAAGGCAGAAAGATTTTAAGAGCCGGGGAGGAGGTGCATGACCATAAGGATATAGAGTCCTAGAGGCTCCAAGGCCTCTTCTCAGATGAACCTACAGCAATGATGTCAGCACGCACAAA